GGACTATCGTGCAGTGATTCAAATTATATTTTTAAATCAGTATTTCATGGCATGGGAAATGATTATAATATGATACTGGGTGATTATAGCAGGAAATAAACCCTTAGAGAGTCAAGATTTACGAAAATGTATAAATGTGTATAAATAATGGAGAAATTTTATTTTTTTCTTCATTTATTTTTTTTATTTTCTACATGGTATATAATGATTGTTAAAATACATTTCTAAGTATAGTCAAAAAATGAATGAGAGATTAAAGCCTTCTTCCTTTGAGGATCTTGATTAAACTCTTTGGCCTCTATTTAAACTAGTAAGGCTCACTCTTCTAAGCTTTTTCAAAATTACTAATACCATAATGGACGAAAGTGATGGGGGAGGGAATTAGGGGACTGACATTTACCGTATGTTCACTCTATGCTAATATCTAGCTTAGGTCCTTTTCATAAATATACTTAACATTATATTTCAAATAAGATGACTTCCTTTTGGCAAATAGTAATGGGATAAATAATTTATCAATGAATCCTTACATCTTTACCAACATAGTAGAACATATAATCTATTTATTGGAGCTAAAATTAAAGTGTTTAGGAATGCAAACAAATTCGCAAAGAAATCTGAGCAGTTTTGTGGTGGTGGTGACATTAGTGATTTCCTAGTAAATAAACTATATTTTGATTAATTGGACTCTAAATTATTTTCAGAAATCAGCATTTATATTTTTGTACTATGCAAAGAACCAGAAAACACTAGAAAGTGCCAAATGTTATATTTTATTCCTGGCCGAGCTTCATTGAGGAGCATGGCTTAAGAACTGGAAATCAATGGATTTGGGTTTTGCTAGTAAATTATTAAGAGGTTTTGAGCAAACCACATAAACTTTGTGTTGTACATTTTCCTCATCTGTAAAATGGGGCATTGGGCTAGGAACAGTGGTTTTTCAAGCTATTCCTGACTGGGAGCTCCAGGGAGGCAGGCACTACGAGAGTTTTTGCTCATGGATCTGGATGACCTGCAGAGTAGCCAGCATGTAACCAACACACAGGAGCACTCGCTAGCTCTGAGTGAGAGGAATGACGGACTGTGCTCCTGTGGAGCCCTCCTGGGAGTCTGCCTTCCCATCAGAGCTTCACCCAGCATAACTGTCTGCAGCAGCTTTATATATTGGACAGAAAGTAATATTTCATTAAAATGACAAAGAGTGTCTTCCCTGCTGAAAATAAAAATGTAACATCTTTAGGCTAAAGTCTGTTCAACGTGGTGATGATTCAATATTACTATTGTGTGCTGTTATTTAAAAAAAAAATACGGATCACAACACCTCTCACTCTAATTTTCCCTTCTATACATTTTCAAATTCTATAACAGAGCTGTGCTTCAACTGAACTTACGGCCATGAGAGGGATGGGCTGTGCTTTGTGGATGAATCAAAGGTGACTAGGTAGAGAAGGGGATGGTGGGATATGCCAGGAGAAGCAACAGCATGTGCAAAGGCAGAGTCATGAGAGAGAGGCAGGTTCAGAGAGGTGAGAAATATTGTGTGCTTGAATGCAGGGTTGCAGCAAGGTAGTAACAGATGTGGCTGGAGGAGGCTCCCCTCATAAAGAGCCTTGTATGCTTGGTTAGGACTTCGGCTTTACCTGGGGAAGCACGCCATTGGATACTTTAAGAAAGCGAGATAACATAATATTTTTGTGGTACTAAGTGTTCTCTAGTGGCAGTGTGGAGGTTAGATCTTTGGAGCCTGAGGGATGTCTGTTAACATACCTCTTGATCTTGGATGTAATGGAACTGGTATAAATAATTTCAAAAGAGTTTTCTTTTCATCATGGCATTCTTTTCCCACCCCAGAATTCATTTGCAGAATTCTAAAAATGATTCCTTGTATAGAGCCATAGCTCTTCCAAAGAGAAATCTTATTGTCATAGTTAAGAATCTACTTTCACTTACAAGTATCTAATACGAAGAGGGGATAAATAATCAACTCTGGAGACAAATAAAAGTCACTTTAACTTGAATATTTTCTACTGAAATACAATTTCATTTGTTTACAACTATGAGATACCCATTAGGGAACTTACAAGAGATTGGCCATGACATTCACGGCCAAATACATTGAAATTAAGGTTAAAGGACCAGGTTTTAGTGTCACCTTGAATGATAATTTTATCACTTAAAACTAAAAGTTTACTACCTAAGACATTTATTAGTGCCTTCATTTACATAAAAAATAATACTATACTCATGTTGGGATGACAGACACACCATGTAAGGCACATCATCTAGGGATGAAGACAGAGCTGGGTGTGGCTTTGGTCTATTTTAACATTAAATTTTAACTTGTCAATATATCTGGGCTTTAGTATATATACCATGAATCAAAATGATAAGTCAGTGTCATAAGTGAAGTAAAACAAAAAAGGAAAGATGTACTTAAAATAATAGAAATCCTCTTTTGATACACCACTAAACACAGAATGCTGCTAATATTGAAAGATTTCATTTGCAGCATGAATCCTAAAAGAAATAATTAAAACATAAAATGGCTATTACCCAGATGAATCTAAAACAATGAAAATCCAGTAAGGTAAATGGGATAGAAATAGAATGACCCATTTTTCCATCAAGCTATTCAGTGTAATGTTAATGTGTGTGTATTTTTAAATTATTTTTACTTTTTTGCTTTCCTAGCATTAATTTTACTTTCAACTTGAGAAAAATATTAACATTAGCTAGTGCTTGAAATATCTTTAGGTTCATGCTGAAATATTTTCTTAATTGTGCCTAGAATCTCATCAAACAGCGAAGATACAGAATTTAGACAGAGGTAGAAAATAAAAAATAGAAAATTGCTTTTGTAAGGAGCTAAAGTGACAATAAACTTTGTAGGAATACTCATTTTCAATCAGGATAATAAAAACCAGCATTTCTTTAGCCCTGGCCATGTGCAAGTTTGAACTGGGCTAAACTTCAGCCCTTTCTTTTCATTCCTGTAATGAGCCTTAAAATAAACAGTGTCACAAATGAGTTTAGAGAGATTAAATACCTTAGGTTATGGAGGTAGTAAGTGATAGATTTGCACCCAGACCTATGTTCTCTTGAGTATCATCTTTTATGCTACATCTAAGGCACAAGCCATGACTTCTAAACAGCACATGTCCCATGTCACCTGGCCGTGCCCTGTCATTTTTTTCTCATTGTATTATAATTGTCTTTTTGCACACCTAACTCCCCCTACTACATGGCTATTTCCTCCAACGCAAATACAGTATCTTTTAAAAATTTATTTATTTATGATCATTTATTTATTTAACCTTTCTTTTAATTTATTTTTGTTACAGATGTTTTTTCTTTTTCCCCCATTGTCACCCTCCTCCCCACTCCCCCCCGCCCCCCCAGCATTGTTGTCTATGTCCATTGGTTATGCATATATGCAAATAAGTTCTTTGGTTTATCTCCTGTCCTCTACCCCGCCGAGGTTTGTCAGTCTGATCCCTACTTCTATGTCTCTGGGTCTATTTTGTTCATCAGCTTATTTTGTTCATTAAATACAGTATCTTATTTATCTCTTTAGTTCTAGGGGCTTCATGCAGTGGCATACCCCATAGTAGAAACTCAGTGAGTGTCTATTGGATGACTAGTGTTGTCAGAGGTCACTAAATATTAGTATATTAAAGAAAACATTACATTATTATTTTTTAAAATATGTTTTTATTGATGTTTTAGAGAGAGAGGAAGAAAGAGAGAAACATCAATGTGAGAAAGAAAATAGATCAGCTGCCTCCTGCACACCCCCTACCAGGGATGGAGCCTGAAAGCGAGGCATGTGCCCTGAGGGGGAATCTAACCAGGACCTCTCAGTCACGGGACAATTCTCAATCCACTGAGCCACATCGGCTGGGCAGAAAACATCATATTATTATGGAAAACAAGTGATGTGAAAAGAAAGTGCCAGTTGCTTCTGGAGTTATTATCATTATTCAGTATAACTTAATGGAGGAAAAATCAACTTAGACTTCAGTTTGAGGGATTGGAAGCCTAGCAAATACAAGCATGCCTGATTATAAAGAGTAGTTTACCAAGGGGATTGGGAGCAGGTTCTAAGTGAGTTTGCACATGCGTCTTTAAAGTTGGTGGTACTGATTTCTGTTATAACAACTTGCTCAATGAAGCTCTGATTAAATATGATGATAGCATCCATTTTAATCTGGGTCTTTCATTGCCCTGTCTGAAAGCTATCGGCAATAAAAGCTCTCTTACCCTGGCTGTCCTAAGGGATGCCTAGAGCTTGAATTCTGCTGGTGGCCTAGCAGTCTTTAGGAATCAAAGACCAGAACGCAAGGGCTGCCAGCAAAATGATGTGCCCACTTTGCTGGCATTGGCATGTGCAGTTGCCTAAGCTTGCCTCCGGAAGGCTGGTGAATATGCTTTTTACTTCCTGGACATAAATTCATCTGTAAAATTTTTAAAAATTCAGAGTGGAAAAATACAAACGAAAAGTGGAGTTCTATCAGCCAGTGACAACGTGTGCAGTTGCAAGGGTGCTTTTGTTTTCTCATAACTGGTTTTTATAAATACACCTCCAAGGCACAATAAAGTACATTATCCTAAATTTTAATTTAGTTATAAAAAATTCTAAAATAGAGACTGGTTTTAAAATGACTGTTAACGCCCTATTTTAGTTGGCTCACAGGTGAAGTTACATCACGTTTTTTTCTGAGCCTCTTCCTGACCAAATTCAGACCGTGTTCCTTCTATGGGGAGAGCTGTACCCCTCTCACAGCCTCACCACGGGGTTGTAATAGTCCACGTGCTCATCTGCGCATCTCACTGGACTATTTGGTCCTTGAGAGCAGAGCTGTGTCTTATAGTTTTTCCTTTTAGTATGGTACAGTGTGTCACAGACTGTCACTGGTCAAGAAATATTTGTTGGATGACTTGTTCTCTGGAATAGCCCCTTTCTCTTTTCTTCTTACTTATACATCTTTCACTTTCTCCAGGTTCTCTCCATCTGCCCCAAGGACATGAGAGCTGACATCTGTGTTCATCTAAACCGGAAGGTTTTCAATGAACATCCCGCCTTTCGACTGGCCAGCGATGGGTGTCTGCGCGCCTTGGCGGTAGAATTCCAAACGATTCACTGCGCGCCGGGCGACCTCATTTACCACGCGGGGGAGAGTGTGGACGCCCTCTGCTTTGTGGTGTCGGGATCCTTGGAAGTCATCCAGGATGATGAGGTGGTGGCTATTTTAGGTACTGTGAACTTTCCTAATGTAGTAGCACATGCAACGGTTTGAGAGATTTTGCTTCTTGGGTTTCTTAAGAGAAATTTCCTTTGCTTGCTGACTTTGGAAACTGGGTCACTAATGAGATGATGAATCTTGGTGAAAACTAGTCATGCTGGTTCAGCAAGGAACATTAGTATTGGTCACAGACTACTGGGCTGCATGAGGGTCTGACTAAACTTTTTTTTTTTTTTTTTTTGTGGTAACAAAAGGATAGTACCCTTTAGACTAGAGCTGATCGTAGCCTGATGGTGGCTGTACCTCCACGGGGGTGAGTGTGAAAATGGGTCGTGGAATGACTGTTAGGTTAGTACTCTAGCATGTTAGTTTCAGAGGGGCCGTAGAACCTGTCCGATTCAACATTTTCCTTTAGAGATAAGCAAAGTGAGGCCAAAAACGTTTGGTGACTTGTCCAGCTAGTATATGATTTAGGGCTTGAGTACAGATCATCTTACTCTAAATCATTTTACCTCATCACAGTGGACCCAAGTAGTGAGCCGAACAGGATGAGGCAGTAAATGCCTTTAGGCCATTATATCGGAGTAATCACAATGCAAGTAGATTTAGGCATTTAAAGTGGGTTCTGTCCATTCATAAACCAGGAAAATTGTTTGACTAGTAATAAATTCACTCTACAATTCAGAGACCTGGTAATTAATTGTACTAACAAAAAAGGCAGTGCCAGTCCATGTAAATGACAATTTTTTTTAAATTACAGGTTTGGGGACAGTGGAATGTATATATATTGGTAGAACAAATGCTAAATGATATTTTAGATGAATTTTTTTTTCTCAAATATCAGCTGCAAGTTCATGAAGTCCACATATCTATAAAAGGAAGCAATAATGAAGTCAGAGGAGACTCATCTCTGGTTTTTTTCCTCAAGTAAAATAAGTTAGAATTGCAGGATGTCAACTCCATTTTGATCACATTTTTCCTGACTTGTGTCTCATGAAAAATGAGCTCAATTTTAAACTACTGGATTTTTTTTAGCTTCCGAGGTCAACCTACCATAGCTTGAATGCCACTTATTCTCGTAAGTACAAGATTGAATGATGTATTTTAGCAACTGCAAAAGCAAAACCCAGCACAAAAATGAAGAACTGATCTCAAAAAGCACAATTACCTGACAGAGACAGAACTAAGAACTGAGAAACAATGACCCCTCCTAGGAAAACAGGTCCTGTTAAATTTGTCCGAGTTAGAGAAAATGGTTCAGGGTTGCAAATGACTGAACACTACTGTTTGTAAACCTTTTATTAATTGTTTAGTCAGCAGTGTGTGTGCGTGTGTGTGTAAAGCTACTTAGTGCTTGTTCTGTTTTGTTTCCTGGAGCATAAAGGAGTTGCGTACAGTCCTTCATAATAAGTGTGCATTTCGTCAGAATGACGCTTTGTGGTAAAGGAAACATATACATACTACAGTCATTCTTGTTTGCTTAAAGGAAAGGGTAACACACAAGCCCCGAACAGCCGTGTTTCCTTTTCCTGCACATTCATGTCAGTGGTGGGTGGGAGAACAGACATCAATGATATTGCAGGAGAGTGAGGACCGTTAGAATAAATGACCTCAGCTGTGCCCAAATTGCCGTTTGCTTTGCCCATATTCTTCATTTCAGCCTCACCTTGGTAACTTCTTTTCTGAAAAGAAGGATGGAGAAAGCCCCGAGTGCAGTGCCGGGTCTGCCAAGCTGCAATCATTTGCTCAGTGAGACAGACAAAATGCATTTTCGTTTCCTTTTAAAATAAAATGGTAGCTGGTTTTGCCCAGTGACACAATAAAAATGAACACAGGGCCTCTGGGTATTGGACCAATCTCATCATATCTGTCACATTTTATTTCCTTGAGTGTGTGCTTTTTGTTTATCCTCCTCCAAAATCCTGGGATTCAGAGACGTTTTCATCTCTGGGCTTAATGAGTCAAATTATATGTACACCTCCCTGGCAAACTTGCATTTGTTTTTTCCAAGGGCCTCTTAACAAAGATTAACTCAGCCAGAAAGCAGTCAGAAGGTCTTTGTTTAAAAAGAAAGTGTTTTGACCTAGAAGTGATCTCCCCAGGGCAGAAGTAGGCAGGAGAGGTGGGGAGGCAGGATGCTGGCAGCTGCTGTGAGCAGGCGGTGGGGTTGCCTAGGTCCAGGAGACCCAGCAAAGCCCCTGTCCTCTGCCGGGGACAGTCTGTGAAGAGACAGGTGTGGAGACAAGCTTCGGGACCTCCTCCCTATGTTGAGCCTTCCCCAGTCTAGGTTTAGAGGAGAGGCCATCTGAGGGGATTGCACGCTAGGATTGAGGACCCCTGGTGCCTTTCTGCGGGAGAGCCGGTGAGATGCTGTAAGAGAGAGGTGGCTGCCCTCCATGCCCCACACAGGGAGTCTGCCCTGCCCAGACCCACCCTTGTGCTCACACCGTCTGTCTGCAGCCCCCACTTCCAGGCAGCTGAAACCGGGTACACACTGCTGCCTGTGCTCCGCAGGAGGGGCCTGGAACCTGCCAGAAAGGCCTTCCCTCACCCAGCCAGGGTCTTGACTTGGAGATCATCACACTGGCTCTATTTTGTGACTTCTCAGTGTGATTTAATTGAGAATGCATATTTTTAGACTTTTCTAAATAAAAAAAAAATTTACGATTAAAAATGAGGGGAGGGCTTTCTTTAATGCTCAAGATTGCTTAATGTTCTGAGAAAGGGAGAGGAAAATAGTTGCTCCTGAAATTTGGATGACTGACCATTTCTTTCTAGCTCCTCTTGTTTTTCTTCTTCTCCTTCCCTGCCCTCCCCTCCTCTCTTGTCCCCTCCGCTCTGCCTCCTCCTCTTCCCCCTTCTAATTTTTTGGTAGCTTACTTTTGGAATAATTATAAACTTAGTGAAATGTTCCAAAAATGATTAGGGTGCAAAGTTTGAGAAATATCTTTATGTTTTCTACCTTATTGAGTAAGTTGATTAGGTCTTCTATGTCTTTACTGATCTATCCTCTTCTTGATCTATCCTGGAATGGAGAGTGGTTTATTAAAGTATCTTATTATTAATGTGCTTTATCGATGTCTCCTTGCACCTCCTGCAATTTGTGCTGTGTTATTTGGTTTTGAACATTGAAATATCTCCCTTTTCATCTTGTGTAATGTCTTTTTTTTTTTTTTTTTTGCCTGGTAAGGGTTAAACAGAAACAGCATCCCTCATATTTGAGTACACTTGGAAAAATGAGAATTTGTCTAAGTTGGTCTGATAGGAGAAATACAGAGGTCTGGTTCTTTCTTAACACTGATTCATGTGCTGGTTGAAAGGTAGAGAAGGAAAATTATTTTAAAATTAATTAAAATCTTTGAATCCAAAAACAGGTGCAGTTTCATTCTTTTGGATTCTTGCCTCCAAACAGTCTTTTGGTAGGTACATAATTTTTTAATGTGTCAAAAGACCTAAGGTGTTTAATGAATGAGTTCTGAAGCATAACTAATTAATGAAAAGATTAAAAATGTAGTCAACAAATACCTCCTTTTTTTTTTAACACTGAAGGATGGCTTCAAGATGTTTTTCAAAATAGGGCATATGAAAAAAAATTGCAGTTCATGTCTTTTTTCAACATGAAGTTCTTTCCGTTCTTACACCTCCACTTTTTTTTGGCCTTCCACTTTTTAGAAAACACAAAGAATTCTAAATTAAGTCTATGATGCATGCATAATATTTTATATTCTTTAATATATTCTTGCTTTTTAGTTCCTAGCCTATAATTACTTAATGTGAACAGATTTATTGGTATGGCTAAAATTAGCCAGGTTACTTCTAAGTGACTCATCCAAGTATATTGTACCTTTTAGAGACTATAAAAATGGTATTTCCCCATTAACAATAGACTCGGCTTCTAAGATATTTGTTTTGCTGCATTCACAATTTGTCTTTTCTGTGTTTACTGATTATAAGAATAATATGATTGGAGTCATTAATCTAAGACAATCTGTATCTAAGTATTTTCATTGTTAACTTCAAATTTCCAAGAGAACTAAGCTTGTTTATGTACAGTTTGAACAGAAGGGTTTGATTTTGTTATGGGGTTAGGGGAAGAAGCAAAAATGAGGAAGGAAAAGACAGAATTAAAGGAACTTAATAGTGTAAAAAAAGTAATTTCTAGTACCTGGGTTAAGATTTCAAGTAGAATCAGTCCATATCATAAATATTTGTGCATTATCAAGGAAAACATATAAATTATGGGTCTCAGAATTAAAAGTCTGTTTTTTAGTTTTATTGCCAAAAGAAAAAAATCTGAATGTGAATGAATAATATTTTGCTATTTTGAGAACCTGTGAAAATGTGAATTTTATTCTGTGCTTAAGATTTCTTCCTATATACTTGCTATTAGAAGTTAGGTACTTCACACTTTAAATCCTTAAAAGGGCTTTTCCCAAGCCCCAGAAGATTTTCTTTTGCATCCACATTTCTGTGTTTTGGGATGCTGAACTATGAATCAGGTAGGTTTGCTCTACCAATTATGATGATGGACGTAGTTAATTCAGACACTTTTATTAAGGGCAAACTAGTATTTGGTTTTAAACATGCAGGCTTGTCGTGTTTTAAACTTTCCAAGTTGTGATTATAATGTTATTTACCCATGATTCAAATGGTACACTTTAGAGTTCCTCAGTTCTGTAGATTTCTGGATAAAATATGAATCTTTGCAGTCTTGTAGGTTAGACTCAACTTCAAACCCTGTCCTTACCATCCTTCCAAACGAAATCTGTGTATTCTATCTCCTTGGAATCTCTTTATCCTACTTTTAATATCCCTCTCCATGACCACTGCTCTTCAAATGTTGGCCCTGGGCAGAAAGGCCTGACTGCTTGCAATCTGCATCAGTGTCCACCTCCAATTTATGTTTTGCTGCCACTGCAATAATCTTCCTAAAATGTTACTTATCGTGTCTGTTTCCCTGGTTGGATTGATGTTTTAGCAATTTGGATGTAAAATATAACTACTAGCGTG